AGTAGTAGTAGTAGTAATAGTAGTAGTAGTACTAGTAGTAGTATTGGTAGTAGTAGTGGTAATGGCAGTGGTAATAATAATAAAGTAGAAGTAGTACCAATAATAGTAATAGTCGTCGTAGTGGTAGTGGTAGAAGTAGAAGCAGAAGTAGAAGTGGTAGTTGTAGAGGTAGTAGTAGTGGTGGAAGTAATAGTAGAAGTAGAAGTGGAGGTAGTAGTAGCAATAGCAATAGTAATAGTGGTGGAAATAATAGGGGTAGGGCACAACATTTCCTACTAATCGAAGGTTTCTGGCTATCACACTAGGCAAAGGCAGGCCTTATCATCCACCGTTGTGGCAGCGTCAACGCAAAGAAGATAATAGTTGTGGTGACTGTGGTAGGACTCGTAGGGTGGTAGAGGTGGTAGTGGTAGCAATATGGGTAGTGCAGGGGATATTAGCAACTAAATTTAAAAAAGGCGGGGGGGGATGCAGTAGCTCCTCCCCCGCAATGTAAATCAAATGTAGACAGCGCTATCTGCCTATTGGATAATTTATCCTAAATTATGTCTTTACTAGGGAATTATCAAGATTGAAGGACCATAAGACTACCGGATTAGGAGACTAAGAAATTAGATCTAGGTGCCCACTGGACCAAGAGACCGAAGGAACAGGGAACCAACGTAGTAGGAAGCAAAAGACCAACGGATCAAGAGACCGAAGGACCAGAGAACCTAATCAACATTATATTATTTTGATCGATCCTGTTTTTGAAATTGATCTTATTCTTAATTCTTTCCAATCTTATCAATTTTTGATCCTGATGTCTTCAGCAATCTCAATATTTAGATTTTTTTCAATTTCAACGATTATTTTGGTAGCAACGGCGCCCTACAGCGCCTCCAATATCCAAGCACTCAAGGATACATAGCAACGGCACGCTACAGAACCCAACGCCCAAGCCGAAGCGCACTCCGGCGACACCAACACCCAAGCTTCGAAACGCGCCCAACAGCGGCACCCTACATCCAAATTCCCATGTGCACACGACCATATGTCTTGCCAATCGCCTAACAAATATATCGCTCGAAGTTCTATCAAAAGAAAATCGAAATCTTCCAAATTCCAAGAAATTTTATTACAAACATTGTAAATTCCGAAAAATATCCCGGCAAGAGATCCCAAACAGTGTGTGAGGTCTACAAGCAGAAAGTCTAGAGATCTAGACGCATTGGGGTCCAGAGAGGTGATGGTGGTGATGAAAGTGGGGATCGTGGCCACGGTGGCGGTGGTGGTGAGTGAGTGTGAGTGCGAGTGAAAGTGAGTGTGAGTGTGAGTGAGAGGGAGTGAGAGTGAGCGTGGGAGAGTGAGTGAGTGTGAGTGTGAGAGTGAGAATGAGAGTGAGGGTGAGGGTGAGAGGGAGAATGAGAATGAGTGAGAGTGAGAAGAGTGAGAGTGAGTGTGAGTAAGAGTGAGTATGGATAAGAATGCACTGAGTGTGAGCGTGTGCCGTGTGTAAGTGAATGAGAGTGAGGGGAATATGAATGAGTGAGCATCTCAGAGCACAAAGTGCTGCGCCACCAAGCGCTCTGCCTGCCACGAAATCTGCGCGTCGAAATTCATCAAATGTTGCGTCGCGCGAAATCGAGGTTCATCAACCAAGTGTTGCGTTTGCCACAATCTGCACTTCGAAATTCATCAAATGCAATATCAATCATTTTCGAAATTCTCAATATTCTGTGCTTGCCACGAAATCATTCCCAAAATGAAGATCATAGAATATTATATCTATCAAACGAAATCCGCCAATGCATCGCCACAAAATCTACAAATAAACCAACCATACATTCAAAAAATATAGTTCATTACCCCTATCAGGAAATTAAAATTCCTCGACAATTACTATCATATCCAAAGAACACCACAAACAATAATCCCCATATGTAAAATAAATATAATATTACAAATACAATTGTTAATAACATCCGAAACGAATATCCAAATTCAATAAACCTACGTAATCGAAATCCAAATTATCTTTAAACATATATTAATATATTCTAAATAACAACGAATTAACCACATATGCCCATATACTTTAACGACCTAAATATCAATTATTTTTCAATCTATCGTAAATAATCCTAATATATCCCCATAATTTAAACAAACAATATTTCAATCATTTATTAATTATTTATATATTTACAACGTAATATACAATCTTAAATCATAATATTAAAATCCATTTTTTTTTCAATTAATATATCTATTATTAATCTAAATTATATTACATATATTTAACATAAATTATAATATTTAAAACATAATTGATAATAATTCAATATAATAAAAATATTTTTTATTATCTATATACATAATTATATATCTATAATATATTAAATCAATCAACAATCATTTAATAATATATTTATATATCATAAAAAATATATATTTTAAATAATCATTAAATATATTAATAATCTATTTGTTAATTCTTCGCAATTGTGCCAATAATAATAGTGTTTGGGAAATTGACCTGTTTAACAAGGATTGTTTGCAATGTCGTCGAATATTGAACAGAAACAGAAATCATTCCCGATTCTATTTCAGCCACCTGCACAATTGTTGCACAATTTCAAACATTTGGCATCATTTGGCATTCCTTTCCGAATAGGACTTTCTGGCCACTTGTCATTGGCAAGCAGCAGCAAACAACCCCTCGAGTCTAGATCAGCAAATAAGAAAGACTAAGCGATGGTAAGCATGCTCTGGTGTTTTGGTTTGACATCTTTTGGCCTATCCCAAGTGAAACCATGTGAGCAAAACAATGACAGGACATGACAGGACATAAACATCTTCAATGTCATTCCGACCTCGATTGCAGGGCTCGCAGCGCTGCATCCAATGTCAACACACTCGGCATCATTTGGCACGATTGCAAGTCTTGCAGCAGCAACAAAACCTTGCGCGGAGGAGGAATCAGGCTGAAGAAAAGTGAGTCTTGGCACTTTGCTCCACGCTTCAGAAGTGAAGAACAACACAGTTGACATCATTAGACCAAAGTTGCTGCGAGGATCGGGTCACCTCCTTCCCGCATCCCATTTCCCTTCAAACTTGGCCTGGCTCCACTGGAGGCTCTGGCTGCAAGCTTCAACTGCCTTGGACCCGGCTTGCCAAGTCAAGGACAGGGTGGAAAGATGTGCTGACAGTGTCGGCTGTCTGACTTGAGAGTTAAAAAAATGGAAGCGAAACCTCACAAAGTGTCACAAACACTCAGGCAATGTAATTGAAGATGATTTCCTGGAATGTTCTTCTTTTCGCGGCAACGCCTCGGTCGCCCGTTTGGGGAGTCTCAAATGGCCTGGGGACTCCGGAGATGCTTCGGACTCCGAGTCCCGCCGCTGAGTCTCTTCAGTCAGGTGAAGACCCTCGTCCCATCCGCTGAAACTGTACAGGTTCGGATTTGGATCCACGAACCGTGGCCATGGCCCACACAAAAGGCGGCTGTACAAGAGAAGCCCCTGTCTGAGTACCCTCCACTCGAACGCAAAACTGCAGGTGTTCCTCGACACAAACACACATCCATGCATTCCTCTATATGACGAAAATGGCGGGTAAGATCCAATTGTACTCTCACCTCAGTGGTAGGGTATCAGGTTGGTCTCAAGAGTGAGCGGAGCCAAACGCACCGTGGATCCTTGGATCATCCATAGATCCTGGCCTTGTTAAAGTCGCAGGGGGGCACCTCATCTGCTGAAAGCATCTGAGTGACGACTTGGGTTCTGTGAGATTTATCCAAGTTAGACTGAAGTACTTGTTCCAGGCCCAGGGAGTGCAATTCCTCCTGCTTGGTGTTCCTTTGAGTTTAGCAAATAGCCTTATACAAGTTGAACATTGAACTGGATATCGCAAGAATTCACCAAACCTGACATCACAAACGTCAACCCCTCGGCTACTCCCAGGTTTCACATCGAAACAACTCTGCAAAAACTGCTATCCAATCATCGAACTCTCTGAAACAGAATGTCCTCCACTTTCTCCAACACCTACCACCTGACAAAGACCCATGCTTTTTGGGCTACTAGCATTGTCCAGGGCACTGGAGGGTCAGGGCCATACTTCTCGGCAAAGAGTCTTCGGGCCACTGCCACCTTCCGCGCGTTCGTCTCCCTGCTGTTGCCGGACCAAAAGGCCTCCTGGTCTGTGTAGAGCTCCTCTCAGTATGGAGCCGTGAAGGTCTCAGCAAAGTTTTGTGACAGGTGGGAGTGGGAGTTGGGAGAAATAGCAAACGTCCTACAATCACCATCACAAACTAGTCACCCTACATCAATGATGCTTGCACGATCCTTGCCCTCATTGAGCCCCGACACAGCTTACCCACCCAGGCTCCGTCAAGCGCAGCTCCCCAGCATTTTCATAGTTCCAAGTACAGTCGCCCGTGCCGGTGGGGATGCCGAAACACTTCCCGCCCGGCTGGACTCTCTCACAAGCCTCCAAGCCGGTTTTTGTGTCTTCGAAGCATGTCGTTTCCACTTTGAAGAATTTCGCATCTGAACCCGAACAAACGTGTTGACACTATTTCCATCTATTTCCTCAAAAGTTGGCCCCACTTGTGATGAGATAGACCTCATTTGGACGTGTCAAGAGTTCCTTGTTTCACGTTGCTCAATTAGAGCTTCCGGAGTGACCTTGGGAACGCCAGAGTTTCGAGCGAAACGCCAAGCCACGGCCTTGTCGCCAGACTTCTCCAAATAAGACAAGGATGGACAAGCTCCAGGCAAGCTGTACCAAATACCACCATCGAAATGGGTATCATAGGTAGGAAATGGCCATTCTCCGAGATTGTTGCAGCCCACGTTGTACCCATAGTCCTGCCAGTCCATGTCACAGTCTGGGCCCGTGCACTTGCCACTGTCGAAGGCCACGCGAATACCGAAGTTCATACCTGGCTGCGGCTTGAACAAGCACACTGGTTTGAACCACTGGGTTGTGGAACTTTCATTTTTTCACCAAGGTCCAAATAGAGTTCCCCATGTAGGTCGAGACAAGTGCAGCAAACCCCACGGGATCCCATGGCGAACTCACACCTTCGCACTACTCGGCAGACCACATGGACCAAAGATGACCCAATCCTTTCAAGCCAGCTTCAGTGTTTGCGCCTGCCATAATTATCCTGCGGATTTTTGCTCCAATAAAACTAGTAAAACCATGTAACGAATGAAAAACATAGTAAAACAATGAAAGAGCAGAATGCCCAATGACCATGGGCCTTCAAAGAATACAAGGAGACCCTCAAAGATCCATTGGTAAAGGAAGAACAAACTACTAACTTTAACGCCCATGTGTTGGGCAGTGTCCCTATTCCAATACCCACCCATAATGACCGGTAAGGAAACCCAGACCCTACTAACACGGGCGACGCCCGATTCTGCTTCCGATCCACCAAACGATTGCTCCAAGCAACCTTTGTCCAACAAGGGTTGCGTCGCGCGCACTTGCACCCGGAAGCGCATAATCCGCGTGATCCCGAACTTCGCACCTCTCTCCGTCGGGCGGCTGAGATTGTGAGGTGCGAGGTGCGACAGGAGAGATTGGCAACAGGCAGCATTTGTCAGATTTAGATATAGGCCTGAGAGGTGATTCAATGAGGAATATCAAGAACATCTTCAAGCAGCCTCTTACCTCTCCGTTACTTCTTATCCCATGATTGAGTAGCTCTGGAAGTCTTGCTCGTAAGATGTGGTCATGACAACACCATGCTGTCCGTGCAAATACGAGGCAGTTGGATCACGAAAACTGATGAATCCCTTTGGAAAGGTGATCTAGGACAGTGAACAAGCTGTATGGCTTGAAGAACTTGTTCAGCCTTTTCCTGCTAAAGCTGGCCATGAGATGCCATGAGCAGTTCTGGATCAAATTGGATGAACCCACTTCAGAATTGGTTTAGAACCAGCATGCCGGCTTTTGACTTTCGACTAATTATGCAAATGGGGGGACTCAATTTTATGAAGTTGCAATACCACCATGTGTTGCACACGGAACCACAAGTGCAGCGCTTCTGCACCGACCGCGGTACCTGTTGATGGGTCGCTCCAGGTGCTTCGCCGCCTTTCCCTCGCTTCGGACACCACGTGGCCTGGTCCATACACCCCAGAGAGGACCTCGTTTTGCAGGTACCACATGATGCCCTCCAGGTTTCCGGTGTTGTCGTTCCCCAACGGGTAGTCCTCGTCATTCTGAGCACGATACATGTAGAACTCCATCAGGTTCCTTACACTGGCCACAATCCCAAGAGAACAACTTGGGTCAAACGTGTTGGTTTGAGATCGTTTCCAAGGTTTGTAGTTCTGCACTCTGTGTATATATAGGGGAAGAAATCAGTATCAGAACATATCAGAACTCTATTTCTTAAGAAATCCTGACTCAAACCACCAACCCTTCACCAACACCAAAGCTCATATTGAAGTTTTCTGGGTTCCACATGAAGACATACCCCGTCAGGAACTGTGATATAGTCTCTCTGCTACAAAGATGGCACCATGACACTTACAATGATACTCGCATTCTCATCACTCATGTGCTATAAGACCCTCTGACACATCCACCACGTCCCTCCCTCGCATCCCTCCCTTGCGGCAAAGCGTCCCGTCGCTGGGCTGCTGCAAGGCCGTCACCAAGGGCCCGGGGCTCGGAGCGATCGGCGTGGGGCGGCTCGCCTCGACGCCACTAGAGCCCAAGTCGGCCCGAGATCCGTATCCAACTTCTGGGACAAACAGGACGTTCATAGGGTGCGTGACACTCAGTGAAGCTCTGAAAAACAACAACAACATTCTGAGGAACATGCCATGGTGGTCGACTCTTCAATACATGTAGGGTAGCAAACTGCAAACTATTCCCTGGCCGTAGGTGCTTGTGGCTTTATTGCTTATGACGCTTTGGTGGAACGGAGGCCTTACTTTCACATCTGGAACACTGGAAGTCGCAGGGCTTGGTGTATAGGTTGGATGCCTGCAAATGGGCACTTGATGGATCGCCTTGAAACTGTCCGAATTGGGCATCTCCTTCCAACCAAGAATAAAATTGTTCGATTCAAAACATTAGGCCGGGCCTCGTGGTTGACAGATCTCTGCCTCTTCCCCAAAAAACGAGGATCCCAGAAAAAACCGTCGTCGCATCAAAACCGCCGCTGACGCGAGGATCCTGACCTGCATCAACTCGCAGCTCCAAGGTGTTCGCCACTGTGGTGGGTCGTTCAGATGGATTCCAGGAGCACAGCTGTGAAGGCAGATCGCCACGGCCTCGTCCTGCCGATGTTTGCTGGGCATTCCAGGGGAATGCCACCATTCGTAATACCAAGAACAACAAAAAGAAACAAAGCCGTTTGGAGGAGGGTCAGTCCTGCCTTCAGGTGGGCTCAAGTGGAAGTTGGTGGAGCGCAACTGGCATTAGGAGAATACTTTTCCAAAAAACCCTTCTGCCAGTTTCCATGATTCTCACGAACAGGCTACAGTCAAATTCTCCATATGATTCTCAAGGACCATGTGGTTCAAGGAAGGCATCGCCATCGAAGATGAAACCTTCGCATCACTCCAACAGGTTTCGTCTCACGAGGATTGAACGCACCAGGATCGTCTCACTAAGGACCCCCCCCGCGCACAACTCCTTCCGATAGCACTTCGTGCTAGGATCGCAGCAGTTGGTATTGTGCATGCCTTAGATCTGCTGATCACACAAATCATCACAAATCATACAAAGTTCCAACCGTTTCTATACAAATCCGCTGCGATTGGGGATATGCACCATGAAAAGTAAAAGTGAATCTCATGTGAATCTCATCTGTAGATTCCACTATGCACAGTGATCACCTATGTAGAGCTCGAAAGCACTCAATCATATTCAAACACCAAGAACAAACAGCTGGACACGAACAAACACATGACCAACCGCCACAACTATGTTCCAATCCCCACCCCGAAGCAGTCCATTCCTCTTCTCAGCTGGGACACAATTCACCGTGTACGACGGCACACACTTCCCGTCGCTCGCTGGAGCTGCTGGAGCTGGAGGCGACGGCACCGGAGTGTTGCGGCCGATGACCTTGCAGGTCCATGGTGTGCGGTACTGCGGCAGGTCGTTCATGTGGATACCAGGAGTGCCTGAGCTGCTTGAAAAAGAACGTGCAAGGCCATTGGGATGTAGAACATTGGTTATGTAGCGGAACAAAGGGTTGGGGCCGGTTCTACATCTATCGCGAGCTCTAGTTTCGGATGGTGAGACCGAATGTCAATGCCTTTCTTGTCGTTGGAAGGGAAACTGACACCATTCTTAAGTCTTATGTCTTCACATGACCCACCCTTCCAGCGAGACTTTTGTGGAAACAGTTCAGACAGCACGTCCTTCAAGCTGAGGCCTTCGTTCTATGGGACTTGCAACTTTCACCTCCTTCAGTTGAGAGCACCTATGGACCAGTCAGGTCACTGAAATCCACGAACCTGACGCCTTGGGGGCCAAACCGGGCAAACTTATCCTTGAAAACAGTACAGTGCATGACTCATTGACTCGTGGCCCACGACTCATTGACTCATGCATGAGCAAGTTGCAACTGTGAAGGCAAACGGCCACAGCATCATCCTTTGCATAGCAGGTGGTGGTCGGGTCACAACATCTCCTGAGAGGACTGCTGGAGCAAACGCCCCAAAACGCGAATCGCAGGGAGGCGAAGTGAACGACGTCGCGCCGTGGACAATGTGAGGAGGTAAGAGGGTCAGCGGAGATTCTGCTGGACTCCCTAGTACATGGGATGCAAACCCGAAAAAGCCTGGCGATCCAAACAATTGTCCAGCAGTTTGGCCTACAAGGCCTCCACCAAGTCATTCTGAAGCAGCTTTCTAACCCCACCACCAAGTTAATGGAACCATTGTATGGTCAGCTAACATGGTGCCCTCAATGTCAAAGCACGCCGTCCGCATCCCTACGCCTCTCGTAACGTTCCCAAGCTGCGAGTTGTGCATGCAATTGACATGGTAGGATGGAGTGCAGCTGCCCCGGAGGTTGCTGGTCTCGTTGCTTGCCCAGACCGTGGCCACACAGGCAAACAGGGCAACGTTGAGACGCATCATGATGTACCCACCAGAAATTCTCGTCTGATAATCTCAAATTCTGGGAGCCAAATGGCCACAAATCAGAGTCGAGCCAGGTTGAGCAGCCAAGGCATCCAAACATTCATGTACTGCCTCTCTTTCGCGCTAACTCTCTTGTGTTGCGTAGATCAATCACTCCCTCCCTCTCTCACGACACAACGCGCTCTTGCCAAGCAACTGCATTGAAGCTTAGGAGGTCGATTTGCAAGCGAGATGGAGGGATCTCTTTCAGGACGTGTAAGGCATGGCACCAGGAAGCCTTGAGGCAAGGAAAGATGGGGGTATTCTCATCTCAGGACACTGGGTTCCACATAGATGGCACCAATCAAGAGTTAGAACTGGATCAATCATCGTCATCTACCATCCCTCGCAGTGGGGGGCCCCCGCGTCAACAGTCTGCGCTTCAGGCGCCATTCTCCACTTCCGAGATCTTCCCAATTTGGCACGAAGGATGTATGCGAAGATCTAGTCACCAGTGTGGATCAGTAAGGAGGATCTGGGAGTCTGGCTTCCCCACAACAATGGCTACCAAGACTGCGAGAGGTCAACCATGACCCGCAGGGGAACTCACCGGTTCGGGAGTTGAGTCTCGTTCAAATTCACAGCATTATATATCATCTCTCGGTCACTGAGTCTATTTTACAGTTCCATGCGTAGATGGATTATGGAGACAAGCTAAATATTAGGTATCATAGGAACTGACCATGTCGACAGGTTCTACGACCTGTGGCCATTCCAGCTGATCGTATCGGTTTTCGCAGGAGCCCAAAGCCATCTGGACCACTGGGGATATTTATGTCTTCATCAGGCTAGTAAACATTGAAAGATCTCCAACTCTGACCCTGAACACGGATCACTGGCAGGAAACCAAATCTCAGATTTAACCCAACACCAAGAACCAAGCCCCGCAGAAAAGACCAGATCGTGAGGCCTTCAAGACATCCAGGAATGTATTGAAGCCCACCAGGTCCCAGCCATTCTCAGGCCTCACTCTCAGCTGATCTCAGCTGCTACAGATGCACTCGGTGTTTCGCTGGCTAAACATGGGCACTTTGAAAATCCCTCCCGGACAGTGGGCAGTTGTTGGGGCGAATGGTGGCAAGTTGTTGAGGTCGGATCAGGTGGATTTCTACATCAGTTTCTCGAGCACTTTGTCAGTTTCAATCATCCAAAGTACACATATCGCACTTCAAGCGTGAAAAAAACGAGGCCGTCTGTCGAACTTCTTCTTGGGATCATTGGATTAAACATGATCATCATCCTGAGTTCTCGGCCGGTCTTTGACTAATTCCAGTGCCAAAGGCCACTGCTCCACCTGAGAAAAAGGGGGAGGCGCACTCCGGATGATAGCAGTCAAAGAAGCAAAATAGAAGCAAAGTAAGTACTGGATTGTACATAGAACACTCCAAGAGCGGCTTCATACTCTTTTGTATAACCAAGATGGGAAAGTGATGTCGCCGCACCAGAACAGGGGATGCTTCAAGCAGCTTCACCTCTCTCGCCCAGGTCCCTATAACTCTCCATTGGACGAAGGGACCTTGGCCAGGAGGGCATTTGGACCCACACTGCTCCCTGAAGTGTCGGACGCTTCCCAACAACGTTGGGAGCATTGCAAGTGCAGGGCTTTCCTCCAGTGAACCATGGCGCTGGTCGCCTCAGCAAACAGGACGCCGGCCCAGTGGCACAACTTGCCCAGTGCTTCTCTTGAGACAAAAATCATACACCACTTGCAATAGCAACAGGCAATTACAATGTGTTGTTCAGCAGAATCAGCAAGCCCTTTTTGTAGAAATGTCTATAAGTCAACCTGTTCTCAGTTGCGAGTCCTGGGGAGATCTCATGGGATCTCCGAGATGAGACCCCAAACTCAGATGCCAAGCGTCTGAATTGAAGGCCACGTCATCTGCGCCGCCGCGTCTTGCCGCGGCACGGAGCAGTTGCAGGGAGCTCCTCCAAAGATCGACCAAGTCCAAGGCCTCCGGGACCCGACTCACCGGCGACTCAGGGTGTTTCAAACGAGGTGAATGACACGTGGTGTTTCCAACGGTGCCTTGGTGGAACAGTGCCTGACAACGAGCGTACAAGAAGAAGACCATCTGTTTTTATCTAAGCCTAGGTTTCCCGGTATTTGAGGGTGCAGGCTAGATATCGGTCAGGAAGTTTCAAAAGACCGTTTGTGGCACAAAAGCTGCATATGAATGACTAATTATATCTATTTATTGATGTACTATTACATAGACTCAGGTCCCTAGCAATTCTGCCGGCCAAAAGACCCTTCTTGGAACTGTGGAAGGCGGTCCAGGGATGTTACCCTTTGCTCCAAGCAGACGAGTCGGTGGAGTTTCAGGTCCTCCCCGCCCATCCCAGACTCAGAGCTGAAGGTGCGCAGGCTGGAATGAAGATCCCTCCGCCCATGCTGGAAACATCCGTATATAATCGTATATATATATATACATTCTTCATCATTCTTCATCAGTATTCAATGTCCCAGGTGGAAGTTCTAAGAAGCTCTGAGCTCGGAACTACCCCCTGACCGACTTCCCCCCCGGGCCGAGAGCAACGAGTTCACTGTGACCAGCTGGGTCTCAAGGCCTCACAGACAGGATCGAAACATGATGGCCAAAGATGGCTGGGAAGGAAACTGGTTGAAACGGTTGATGTGTTTTGAATCTAAACGAATAGGTTTGATAGATTCAAAACTGCTAGATTGATAGTTGATTAGAATCTATCAACTGGACGACTTTAGATCCTACTTTTGGGAGGACCCAAAGTCAGGCTCTCAAAACATTGCTGCCAGCATGGCCTCGGCCGCGAAGGTGGCTCAGCAGGTGAGCGGCGTGGTGCCATTCGAAGCTCTGGGCACAGCTGCTACCTGAAGATCTGATCATGGTACGGTTCAAGAACCTGGGTACGAGTACCATTGAAACATATTGAAACACTTGGGCTAGAGAACACCAGTGCACGTCTGTGGCTCTCATCTCCTCTTATTCTTTGAGCCACAGCTATCTCCCAACGATGAAGACATCACATACATTGCGTGCAGTAGAACATGTGATGACGGTGAGGACGATTGGCTGCTTGGTGTTTGGGGTAGGTCCCGGAGTCTTTGTGGGAAGTCTCCAATATTTCTGAACAGTCATTTAGCCAAAGGTAAGGCTTGTTGGCAATGACTGACCGTAGAATGGATACCCCTTAGGATGAGCAGGATAGAAGTCTGCCATCCCCTTCTGAAGTTGTATGGAAAGTGCAAACGATTGGACCACGGCCTAAGTGGTCGTTCAACGGTCAAACTTAACATCTGAGAGGTATTCATGCAGCTCAGGAGCCTCAACACTTCAAAACCTTGATTTACGTTGGCCCCAAGGACCTCTCAATCTCGAAGAAAGACAAGGTGGCACAAAAAAGACGCCTGCGGCGTTGTAGCTGAGAATGTGCTGCTTCAGCCCATGGGCCTCACCAAGTTCAAAGCTCCTCACCTCTTAGGTGCCCAAGGGATACTGAGAACCTATCCGCCTGATGAGCCTAGCCGGGCTACTCGGGGTCAAGTCGTGGACATCGTCTAGTGACGGAGTCCCTCACCTTTCGGGACCCAACCGGTCCGGTCAGGGCCTTCATCTGTGCCAGGAGGAGCTGTGTCCAGGGCCAATGTCTCCGCGACGTCACGAGAAGGTTGTAGGATGCTGCTTGCTGGTTGACGTCTGTGATGCGCCGCTGATGAATCTCTGTGAACAGTGTCAGACTGGAGCTCCAAGATGCACCTCAGAAGGCTGCTTCAAACTATTGTTCAAGGCTCGGAAGGCTTCCAAATGACTAGCATGACATCTGCTGAACTCTGTCCGCGGAGATGCTGATACATTAGCCTTCAATGTGTCAACGGCACATACACCCGAAGCGACCAATCCACCGTGAAGCCTCTCAACACTTAAGAAACAATGAGAGCCAGGACTGATTCCAGTATTGTTACATACAGCTACTTGTTAATGTCTTGTCTCTTCCAGCCACGCTCAGTCGCGCTGATGATGGCATTGAAGGTAATGAGGTTGCTTCGAATTCTTCTCCTTGGCCCAAAACTGAATTTGACTAGAACATACTAGAACCATTGAACACTGATGGCGCACACACACACTCACTCCAGTCCATTTGAGGAATGCTTTCATGACCTGAAAATCGAATTTGGTGAGTTCCACCTTTCCAGGGCAGCGCAAAGGTTTTTCGGTCTCGACGGCGAGTTTTACGAACGTTCAATGCATCCGCCACCGTGGAAGTCGAAAAGAGCCATCGGTTCCTTCCACCTTCCTCCACCTTCCGAAACGTCCGAACGTTCACCCATCGACAACGGCGACCTCTGTGGCGACCCGTCGAAGATCGAAGCCAGTCGACTCATCATATTTCATGCCCTTTCTCTACGCAACCCACGTTAGAGGACACCAGTGAATTCCCGCCTTTCAAACGCTTCCCATTCCAAAGGGCTGGGACATTTTTGAGATCGACTGCAGGGAGGCACTCCAAGCATTCTTCTCGCAGGCCTTGATGCTGCTGGTGTAGGACACCTTGCTGACGGTCTGCATGGGTTGTATGATGGCAGATCGCATGATGGGTTGGATGTCCATGTTCCGGATCTCTTTACCCTATCTTTACCAGCCGACCATCTTGCGACTCCTATAACCGATGTCGAGCTTTCCGCGTGCTGTCTGGTTTCGATCGTTCTTCCTGCAAAGAAAAGGTCAAAGCTTCCGTTGGATTGGTTACGGATGAAGCGAATCATCAATTGTAAACATGAGTGGAACAATCACGACCATCAACCCCAAAGCCACGACCGTCTGGACTGTGCTGATTCTCCCACTGGAAAATTTCACTTGGCCATTGCGAGCGTGCTTGGAAACTCGTGGCAACTAGTACATATTCAAAGGTTTGATGCACATGTCCATGCTGTTCTGGTTTGTCTCTGCACAAGTCTCAAGAGGAATTTCAGCGTATGGACAGCGATACTGAACCACCCAACTCAACTGGTATTTTCATGAGGTACGTAAATCGTTTAAACCTCAACAGCAGCTCATACTCATACCACATTTATCCTACCTCTCCCGAAAACTAAGGCAATTAGTAAAGCGGAAGCGCACATGCGGCTGGAAACAAGTGATGAATGAGGGACTAAGGACACCCTACTCCAGCCTATGACTGTGCGGTTTACTCCCCAAAATCCGGCAGGAACGGTACACAAGAAATTGAGGGTCGGTTTTGAGATTCCAAAGCAACCTCATCCAGGTTCCATCCGAAGGATCCTTCAAACGAGGAACCACGTCCGCCAGCCCAAGCTCTGCCAACTCTTCCGTGAGGCGAAAGGCCTCCTGCGAAAGGCTTGGAGCCGGATGAGCAGGCGGACTTTTTACAAAAAAGGACTGGATCATCATGGACCTATGAGGACTGGAGGTTTCATACCCGGAACCGTTGGAGTTGCTAGGGGGATCTGAAGAAGTGAGTGCTTTTTCAACCGGAATTCACAAAGAAACCATCACAAACAACGTTGGATGCCTGGGACGAATTCAAGGGCCAGTGTTCTTGGCAAATGAGAGGCGAATCCTCCAGTACCGGAAGCTTGCTGGTACCTGTTCACTTCACTTTATACCTGGGGATGGTGCCATCAATGACTACAGGTTCCCTGAAAAAAAATACACATGCTCTCCTGCCAGGATTGGCTCTTCCCACATGCGTTGATCTGAGAGTTGCAAAGAACCACTTGAGATGTCGGCGAGGACTTCTTTGGTAGACCTTGGATGCGAAGACTGGAATCTGGTCGACTCCCAGTGGCAGGATCCGGAAACTCTTCAAGCGCCAGGTCTGCAAGATCTAAACAGATCAGTCCTCTTGGTGTAGATACAAGATACAGTACAAATCAGTAGAACATCCCAACATGTATGAACAAGTACATGTCCATGTCTTTACTGACCAGATCTTGGATTTGCTTCGAGAACTGAGGAGAACAACATCTTCCCAGAAAAGGATTCACCCAGTTTGAGAAAATATGTCAAAATAACATAACCAGTCACCCGATCCGCAAGAACCAGGATGTACTATCTATGTACTCCATCATCACCGTCGTTCAACCAGGTTGCGCGAGACTTAATTACAGCAGTTCTTTCCTGAACAAGCAGCCTCCAGTCCAGCTTCCAAACATTGCCAACAAGGGCACTGGATCCAACCGGTTCAATGACATTCCGTGGGTCACATTCAAGCATCCCAGTCAAATAATTGAAACAAACTAGTTGCATGGCCAAAAGCATTTGTTCAATGTATCAAACCTTTCAAGTCTATAGAATCTCAAGGTCCTGGGAGTTTTACCTCTAGAAATATTTCTTTTACAAGCAAATCTTCCTGAGATTTCCCACCGAGCCACACAGCAAGCCGCGCCGCCACACGGCAGCCCGCTCGCTGGCGCGCAGCAGGCTGCCATAGGCACGTGCCGTTGAGTGGAGGCGCCATTGTGGCAGGACGTGGAGGAGGTGGAAGGAGACCTGACAATCAATGCCAGCCTGGGTTTAAGACTGACCACTTGACGTGGGCGAACATCTGCCAAAACAAGCAAATTTGGCGAACATCTGCTGATGTTTCCTGTGCCGAATCATATCCCAAAAGCACCTCCCAACGATCACAGGAGCTGATGGCGGCGCCCAAGAAGAGCACATCAACGGTGCCCAGGTCGGCGGTCTGTGCCACCAGCTGAAGGACTTGAGACCAACGGCCTGATCGAAGCTAGGAGCAGGTTGGAATACCCGAGCCGAGGCACCACCTGGACGGAAGGTCTCCATGCTATTTTTGGCAGAGATACCTCGTAGATCCTGGTAGCTACTCTCGTAGCTCTTGGGAGATTCAAGGGATTCTGGGTAGACTTGAGGATTCTTGGTTGAGTTCACGGGAAGGGGCCTCCCGCATAGATGATCGTCATTGATGTGACCTTGTTAAATGAACAAATCCAGCGAACAACATGCAGGCGCTTTTTGAGCGATTTGCTATTTGTTGGCCTTGCAAGGTTTGCTCCATCGACAACATAGGACCAATATGGGTTTGGGTAGTTCGGGATTTGGGAACGATTGAAACACCATCCAATGTGGGTCATCAACATCTAGCCCTGTGAAGCACGGTCAAACTCTAGTTTGGCTCAGCTCATTTCAGTTGGCGGCGGTCAACCCTACGGCCTAGTCACATGCTGACAAATATGTCGTGCTGTTACAGTAGCTGCATTCTTGTCTATTCATGGCTCTCAAGATATGCCGATCTTGTACCAACGGAAGGAACATATGAACATATTTGTCACCGACAAGCCCAAATCTCGAGCACATGAATGAATTGGAGGGGTCTTTCGGTAGCATTTACTCAAGCATCGAATCCCTTCCGCTCCCAGCAACTCAGGAGTCCATGTCTAAGAAAGCATTCCACAAGCAACATATCAGGCGTTGTGCTTGGCCTTGAATTCTGAACCAGGCAAAGAGGAATGCACAGTATGCCCGTGTCTAAACCTTGGACCCTCATGCGGCTTCCTCCGGTACCTTTTTTTGTCCTTTTGAACAGCCGGTGCCCCAAGTTTGAGTCCTCACGCTCAACTGGGTCCTGCAACTCTTCCAATTCTTCAACATCACTCTTCTCCTGGTCCGGACTCACTCGAAGTCCAGGATGATCACTTGGCAAATGATGACAATCCCTGAAAGCGCCTTCTCCCAACTCCACCACTGAACTGGGCACCTGGGCATCTTCCAACAACTCACAGTCCGCAAAGGCACCAGCGCCAATGCCGAAGACCGAGTGTGGGATGGACACACTCTTGAGGGATGTGCAGTATGCAAAGGCATTCTGTGAGATATAAGTCACTGAGACGGGAATCGCCACACTCAACAAGGAGCTGCAGTGGCTGAAGGCCATCGCGGCAAAATAGCGCAAGGAGTCCGGGAGTGTGAGTGTGCTCAAGGAGCTACAACCCGAAAAGGCTGCAGACCCAATACCTACGAGAGACTCCGGAAGTGTGATGCTGATTAAAGAGCTGCAATTGGCAAAGGCAAATTCTTTGATGTGGGTCACTTTGTCAGAGATTGTGAGGGTACACAAGGAGCTGCAGCCACTGAAGGCGCTCTCCCCGATCATCGTGGCGGAGGCAGGGATCGTGACGGTTCGCAAAGAAGTGCAATCCTTGCTGTGAGTCGTGGATGCACTCCTCTCCCCAAAATATCCAAACAGTCCAAACTATTCACCTCATAAAACACGTTCTGTGAATAAATTTGTCCGATAGTTTGTTCATCAAACTAGTTGTCGACCAAACGCAGTGGTAAAACGGAATTTGTCAGTGCCTAGAATCTTTAAACAGCCCCTCGGCAACCAGCGACAGTGAGTCAGGCAGCACCAGCGTGTCCTTAAATTTGCTACAAGTCGGCAGAAAGCAAACATCAAAATAACAATTTGGTGAACACGTCAAAACCAAGGTCTGGGTTTGAGCCACGAATTGATGATGGGTATCGTAAGGTTCAACCGACAGGAATCACTCTCCTTTAACCTCAACATGCTGCATACAGTAGTGGCTTGTTTTGGAGGTGTACATGCATGAAGCCAAGCTTATCCTTTTCAGGGCCTGTTACCATGACCCAGAACCACGTCTTTCATGTGGGATTTTCTTCATCTTCCCGCAGCTTTGGCAGCTCTCCACGGTGGCTCAATTGGGCCCAACCAAAAGATCTCAAGCATTGTACCAATTATAGGACCGGATGACCCCACATGTTAGGAAGGAGGAGCGGATACTACAACTTCACCAAACGAAAAATCCACACGTCAATGTGGGAAAAAAAACACACACACACACAAGAAACAAGCCTGCAGAAAACACGCACGACGATCAGTCGCACATCTGATGGGCCCCAAAGACCGACTTGCAAGGACTCCACGTTGTCCATTTTCTTTGGGGCCATGACCAAAGCATCAACCTCCGAGTGTCTAAAGATCTGCAATATGCAAAGGTATAGTTTCCCACTTCCCTCAGCGCCTGCGACATCCGCACGCGAAGTAACGCGGTGCAATATCCAAAGGCCAACTCGCCGATGTGCGACACGGAGTCCTCCATGGTGACAGATGTCAAAGCACTGCAAGCTGCAAAGGCCTGGGATCGATCTCCGGGATGTGGTGAGAAAGACACGGATCGATCCGGGTGTGTGAATGAGAGAAAGGTGGTATCACCCAACCCTATTGTCCCCATGTGAGTCCAAATTCTAGGTCAGGGTGCACACTGAGGGTGCTAGACATGTACCCTGCCATCCGAATCCAATTCCATTTCAACCTTAAGACTTAGACTTAGACACAAAAAAGCCAAGTTCAAGGGATGAGGGCATCCCTTCTTCCCAAACAAGTTTGAGGGGACATCTCATTCGAACTTCAACCGAAAGGCGCCTGGTTCTGGATGAGCATGGTTGAGCTGGGTATCTGGACAACCAACAAGGAGTCTCGGTCGTATCCAGAGGTGCTTTGGGAGATGCATTCCACTGGGCTGATGCTGCTGAACAAGACTTGGACGGAGACACCTGGGCGAATTCCCGCCTCCATGATGGTTTCATCATCTTCAACCAGCTGTTTGTCTTGCACAATGACATCCACGCGACTAAGCTTGCGCGTCAGTTCGTCAGCAGCAGGCTGTAACCCTTTCAGTTCCGCCTTGAAATCTCTGACTTTCATTTCAGGCACGACTTGGACCAGGACATCCTCGCCTTGACGCTGATCATCTGCATGCTGAACAAAGATGTATGGACATCTATGTAGTACGTAACAACAGTTAAATAGGTGCGTCAATGTGACAATGTGTATATATATAATATAGGATTATATTGGATGTACATTCATGGCATTGAATGATGCATTGCAAACAACATCAACAACATCCTCTTTTTTCGGAAAAGACAGGTCACCACTCATCAGGCAAACTCGAATCGCCATCTCCATGGCGATTCGTGCGCTGCACAAAGCTCGCAGTGAACATGTGCTTCCTTCTTCATGCAAGAAAATTGGGAAGGCTATCAGCAGGAAATTAACATGGACTCCTTGCTGAGTAGATGATCATTTGTGCTGCAAAGGAGTCTCCAGTGTTTCCAGAAAGCACTTCAGCTACCGCCAAATCCGTGAAAAATCCTGTAGGACTACGCTGGAGGACTACTCTGCGACAGGCGACAGGTGGCTGCGCACGATGGTGCAACAAAAACACGCGGAGATGGCTGCAACACATGGAACGATTCCTCTTGGGCCTGACCTTGCTCTCTCATCCGTCAACAAGCTCCGATGCGCTTGACACAAAAAGGAACAGCGGCAACCTTTGAAGTGGTACCCTGAACCCTTAGTGTCTATCAATGCCAGACTTACCCTTCACGTTCTCACTTCCTGAACTTGGTTTAACAGAAATAACAGAATTGGTCTGCCGTTTGGCCAACAGAACTTGGCTTTTCAGGATCTCGGATGCATTCCGTGCTTCAAGGCCCAAACCCAATGCCATGCCACGAGGGACGGAAAGCAAAACAACGTGGGCTCCTCTGATGGAAAGTCAGGATGCCATCAACAACCTGCCGTTGGTACATACCAATTCTTCTTCCTCCCTGTACAGTTCTCTTTGCTTGAATAATCTGGACTGGCTCCATATGACATCCAGAAAAGTCATGAGTTTATGCACAACTCGAAACGCGTTCTTGATAAGCTTGAAATGTTCAAAGGATTTCATCACAAATGGGACCACAGTTTCAACACCAGCAAACTCCCTATTTTACCTCGCTGCCTGTGATATTTCTTTGCCCACAGTTGTCCACCCCGTCTTCTGTTTGCCCCTTTCTCCAACCCTAGTAATTGGTACCCTCTTGACCTGCCACGGGGCCTTGACATGCAACGGTGGTCTTGGTGACCATGACGAGGCCCTTGGGAGATGCTTCCAGACCATGGCGATAGCAGGACTCTAAGGCAGCAAGCCACGAAGCCATGGCTTGAGCCGAAGCATGCCGAAGCCAGGGCTTTGGCAAGTCCGGCAAGAAGTTCACTGAAGCCAATGGCTGGGGAGCACGGAAGAAAATCATCCGAAATCACTCGCCTGAATCGTTGTTTTGAGATGAAAAGCAACGTTCTGTTTTTTTTTGTTGTATGCTTTGGGGATGCTTGGGGTGCAGAAGGCTATGAGTCATCCCACAGTGTGGGCAGGGCCAAAGACTGGAACACAGCAAAGACCAGCAAGGGTGGTTATGGTTCATGCCTCCGCAGGCCGGGCATACAATCTTTACATGCCCCACAGATGCTACTGCAAATGTTGCACAATTGGGTCAAGGACATTTACAGTCATGTTGAATGCCTTGAGGGCTTTGATAGTCATCATTGAATCATCACTGAATCATCACTACGTGAAGTCTGGTGCTTTGCTCGATCCCATTTTTTGCCCGAAGGGGCCGCGCGAAGGGGCGAAGGACAGCTGACCGTTTGGCCGTGCCCTCCCTGCCGTTTCGGAAGGCATGGGTCGAGGCAGTCTCCATGCCACACGATGCCACACGATAGGTGCATCTCATGAAATGCATTTCCTTCATCGCACTTTTTGGATGATGAAACCGTTCAAAAGATCTGGGATCTGGATCAGCAACTGAGAACTGACGGCTTGCTGTTTCCACGGTTCACAGTCGCTCCAGTCACACTCCAGTCCCGTCTTCATCTCCGTGTCTGGGTCACAATTGTAGGGTCCTGGGATTGTGAAGCTTGCTGATGAACCCACTTGATGGCCACCTTCGAACACTTCCTTGACTCCGTTGGCTCCGCCCACCCCGTGCGCTGGCATCGCTGGAACCGCCGCGCTGGTCGTCGGGGAACTTCCAACCTTGAACACTCACCTGGCAGCGAGAGATGACATGTCAGTGTCCAAACGTCGCAAGTGATCCTTGACTTCTTTTCCAGGGCAAACGTGTGGGCGTTTGCCGGACGGAGCTAGTTTCCAGGCCTGTTTCAAGAGAACCCCCGCAACGGGTTCGGCTGTTTGGCCCCCTGAGACCCCTCCTGTGTGAGAGCACCTGCGGGATCTGTACTCTTCGAGCGGCAAGGAATTGTCAGGATCCCCACCATTCTTCCCAACGAGGCGTCGTGCTCCAGTGAAAGTGAGGCGGAAACCTCGCCTGCCCCAATGAGGTTGAATCTGAGGGTTGTCTCCTCAGCTAGGCACAAACCTGATTTTTTGGTGGCCGGAGATGAATGTGAAGTCGGTCGAAATTGATTGGTATCTGATAGCTGTATCAGTGAAGGGAAATGGGACTCAGGCAAAGGCCTATTGAGTCTCCAGAAGCACCCCAGGACACAAAAAACATGTTTTAATATGTTTTAATTTAAGTTTTAATACTTTCCTGGACTTTCCAGAAAAGTTGGGGAGTTGGGGTGGACACGAGACGTCAATGAAGGAAACAACCTCCGTCTCTGAGACGGCCCCATCCGATTCGTCCTCTGAAGGAGCAGCTTTCCCCGAAAACTCCCGGGTGCTTAAGAAATACAGCCAATCCACTGTGTAGAGGCCTTCTACACTTGCGAAGCAAAGCACCAGCAAGGCTCTGATTTAACAGTAACATTTGATCCTATCACAAAATATCACATCACATCAAAAACATGTAGAATTACCAACACTCATATCTGGGAAGCTTAGAGTTTTTCATGAGGGATGTGCATGACAACTACGATCCTCGAAGCACAGCCACTACCATAGGTTTCTACAAAACACTCCATGGCCTCCAAGTTTCCTGCTCCACTTTCATCTCCTCGAGGTGCTGCAGCTGGGAACGCAACGCCTCTGGAGCGCTCGATATTTCCAAGACACTCTCCTCGGCGATGTCAGATCTCAACAAGCGTTCTGAATGAGCGACAACAGCCAACTATACAAACTAATATGAGCGTCTGCCAAAACATCCTGTGAAGACGAGGACATGATTCAGCAACGCTATGGCTTCAGCAACGCTATGGCTTTTGAGGTGGTCCACTATCCTTTCTAAACAAGCCACCAGGCCACAATTTCAGCGTAGCTGAACATACATATAAAAGCTGCGGCGACACGGTTATCACTTTTGAGGAGGGCCTGTTGCTTTTGCAGGTTTTGGCCAATTCCAGAAGCTTACGCCCACTCGTTGTGGCCTTATAATGGTCATCGCACGTTGTGGCCTTAGGACTGTAGGAGCTCGTTTCTCTCTCTCTCTCTATGTTGGAGTTTCTGGGCCTGCAATCGTCCAGTCAGCAACGTTAACCTTTGCTATCCAGGGCTGAGCTTTGGTGAAAGGTTGTGTCCTAAGTACTGTCTTCCTTGTGTGTTTCTTTCTGTTTCCTGTATGGTTTGTATATGTTTGTACAGGTTCATGTAGGGTTCTTGCTGGTTCTCATGGGAAACCACTTCTAGTGAAGCGATACCCTATGAAAAACCTAGCATAGTAATTTCTTGAAAATCTTTGGCTGGGTTAGCCAGAGTGGTAGTGAAGAAAAAGGAGTGTGACATGTGGTTGAACGAAACTATGTATGTTCATATTCAAGTGGAGATGTCCGATCCTAAAAATAAGGACTTTTTAATAGACTATATGTATATATATATACATATTCTAAAGCTGCCTGTGCACAATCGCGCCTGAAAAAAACCACCTCCAAGTGATCTCATTGAGGAAGTCTCTGAAGGCCCGTTCCATGAGGCATAGGGGGTGTTCCACTTTCATGTTTGCGGGAGGGGATCAAATCTCTGTTCAAGGATTCTGGGCACATTGTTGATGTTTTCCCAAGAATACGCTTAAGAAGTAAACACATAAAGCTGACATGAAGATATACTGAATACTGAATAAGTATGAATAATAAGCCACAAAGCCTTTCACTGGAATGTTGAATACGCTTAAAAAACCCAGTCGTCGCCCCGTAACATTCAGGAGAAAGTGCATCTGATCGACCTCATGATGTGTGTGTATGTGCGGGTTCACCAAGAGCCCAAAGCAAGGCAAATGACCATCCAAACTGGATCGTTCCGTTTATGTGGTGCTTCTGTTGACATTAGGTTGGAGTTGGAGGCTTAGGTTGCAGGGCTTTGATCAAAAACAACCATCTGATCCTACCAAGGCTCCGGAATCTTGCTCAATTCCTCCTGGCACCACCGCTCCATTGCACTGCTAAGGATGAACATATTGAAGTTCTCGACGTCGAATGCTACGAAGAGGTCTTCGCTCGCCACCACCTCCTTTGAACCTCGGGGGTTTGCCGTCGGGAAGCGGCGGACAAGGCAAATCGTCCACCACGGACAAGGTGAAGATCAACAGAACCATGGACACCTTTGGATACCTTTGGAACTGAAGGCTGACCTCCAAACCTTCCATTGATTAATCTTTATTCTCCACATGCTCGAAAGAAAGGCCATAGGCCTCCAATAGTGTAGAAAGTGTTTGCTCCGCTTAGCGTGGAGCTTCATGATCTTCATGTAAGTAGCTTCTGTGTTTACTTTCGGATCCTATGCGTAGCTTCTTCATGTAGCTTTAGAGCAGAACAACTTGCGTTTTTTGTAAGATCCTCCAGCAACACCCAAGGAACTGCAGCTGGAGGTCGCTTCCGCCATGAAAGGTTCATCCGAAAGCTCTCGTAGGCCCACCAAAAAGCATCGCTGATTCGCCAGGCTTCGAAACTGAGCGTGGAAGAGCTCCACTTTCACAGGAGTCTGATCCTTGGAGGATAAAAGGAGCCCCAACAGCTGTAGACTTGAGCTACTGGAATGTCCAAAGGTACGGTCTTGATGGATCTTGCAAACCCACGCGCGAACCCCCTGATGGGGACAGGCCGGGACCAACCGGCCGGGACAGGCTGCGAGCTCACCTGGGTCTCCCAGTCAGTCTTGAGGATTTCCCCCTAATATTGGACCATTCGGCGAGCTCGTTGTGAATACATGTCACCCCCAAAAGCACTGGGGCTCAAACGTGGGTATCTTGGTGCAATAACCAAGGGTGGAAGTAAAGGACACCTATAGCATCTCATACCTTTAGAATGCCCCCGTATCAGTTGATAAGTAAAAACACAGGGGATGTTTTTCAGGCCCGAGCGATGGACTCGCACAAATGGGACAATCTAGAGGTGGTCATTCTTGTCTTTTGCTACTAGAAACGATGCCCTTTGTTACTAGTAGCTTCTTGTTACCAGTAGTAATGCCAGGAGCTACTAGTAGCGTCTTTGCTCCTAGTAGTAATGCCCATTGCTACTCTTCAATGAGCTACTAATCCTCACCAATCTATGGATTGTCCTCAGGACGGTGACGACAGTGCACTTCTTGGCACAGGATTCACCCAGGTTTCCCTACTTTTGACGTTCTGTGTTCAGTACCAAGGATCCAAGGTCAGCATATCCGCATTCAGCGCCATCACTGAGGTGCTTTCTGACTTGATGGAGCTTCGGACCTGTTGCGAGATTCGCTCTTGGTCCTCCTCTGTGAAGAAGTCCAGCAACGAGCTTCTCACCTTGCGGCTGTGAACGGTGCGCCGCTCGTGGGCTGGGTGGCCACCACCGGGGTGGCCACCAAGACGACTCCGTCAAAAGGGACATCGCCCCGGGCATGTGCGGGGTCGGTGATGTCGAAACATGAATCAAGCGAGCCATCTATGGCTTTTTGACGGGTTTTGGATGCTTCTTGAGTGTGCAGAAATTGTTTTACGTGTCTCAAATTCATCCACTCCTCAATAGTTCTCATTCAGAACTGCATGATCTGAATCTGATCCAGGCATGGAGGGTACACAACCCGAACAAGTCGTCCACATCCCCGTCCAAACATGTATGTTCCAACGGCTGCTTTTTTTGGGGGCCCGATGATTCGGCATCACCACTTCCCAGCCAAGCAGCTTCTCCAGCTTCGGATTCACCATATCCCAACATGGTGGACAGCAGCCGAGTGCTCTCGCCGAGCAACTTCCAGGAGTCATCGACCTCCACGACTGCATCATAGGAGGCGTTTAGTAACGAGGTCACCACCCCCCAGCTCCACAGTCCTTCCTTCCTCGAAACAAATGAGAAAAACTTGGAGAATTGGATAAGAAATGGTCTTCGACCAAACGACGCGGCCTTTGGGATGGTTGGAAAGCAAAAGTCTTGGAAAGTCTCAAATCATTTGAAATCCTTTTGATTGAGGCCGTGTTTCCAGGGCGTGCTTCAAGGTGGCATTCTCCTCCATCAGGTTCCGAGCAATGTACAGGCCCACCAACATCACCACCAGCACAGTGACAAGAAGAGGATAAATTGGGAGTTGGATTAGGCTGCTGCACAAGTGCAGGTCAGATTGCACCGACGCCATCCAATATGTTTGCAAGAAGTTCAGTCCCATACCCAGGAAAATGGTCGAGTTGCGTTGGGCCATCACTAAGAAGACGAAGCGAAAGCTAAAACTCAAAGTCACCACATCCCTAACATCGAGACGATCCAGCACAGGAAGAAGGCAACCATTCCAAGCAAAAAGACATGTAATAATTGAAGCATCCACTGTCTTGGGAGTGATGATCTGAGGCTTCCAAGTCACCAACAGTGCCAAAAAACCTTGCACAAAGAAAGCCAAATCATAGTCAGCCATGGATGACAGTGACCCGAAGGCTAAAAGCACCTGTCCGACAATCGTTCGGATAATGATGCCGGCCAAGATTAATTGCCAGATTCGACAGATCTTCTTGCAGCGCAATAGGTCCAATTCCTGAAAAGTCTCCTGGCTCATGGGCTTGCGACACCACTTCATCAGCGCTTGGACCATTGTGCGTGATGAAGGGATGGTCTTCCTGGAATTGGGATGCCAAATCCAGGAAGTCATACATAGCAAGGTCAAGACCTCAAGGGTCACAGCACCACATTGGAAAGCTGTTGAACGCTCCATGTGCCGCTCTTCCTCGTGCTCCAAAGAGAGCTCTGACAGCTTGAGGGAAACTCCAAGAAGCGGATTGCAGCACACCTTCTTAGCCTCCTTGGCTTATCGATGTCCTGCTGCTTCTCAGTAGGTATAAACGATAGTTCGATGATATTGGACGATATTGGAATATATTGGATGTATGATTCGATGATACATGTTTCTAGGAGTGCTTCTGCCAGAGTTGCCCAGTTTATCCCAAATCACCCAACTCCGTGTCGAACCACCCAACTGAACCACTTCACAAGTGAGATGGACCTTGGACCTTCAGCCTCAGACCGTTCCCAGAACTTGTTCGCACTGGAAGCGCGCTTCAGCTAAGAGAAAACAGCGACCGCGGTGGGCACACCGCGCTGGGAGGTTCGGCTTGGCTTCAAGGTGCTTGGAAGTGATCTTGTTTCTCTAATAGCGATGGCCTCCAACCTAACAGCGATGGCCTCCAACCTAATAGCAAAACTAGACCTTTCTTCCCACGAAGCTGACAGGACATCAGCTGTGTGTCATGGCCGGTCGCCGTGGTCGGCCTGTAGCGGAACCGCCATGTAGGTAAGACCCCGTTGGCAAGACGTCACGACCGACGACCGACTACCCTGCAAACAAATGACATCGCCATTTGATAAATTCTGTGTTTTCCGCAGATTCAAAAGCCGAACCTCCCACAATGGCCGGTCTCAAAAGATAAGAGAATGCTCCACATTCCCGGGAAATCCGCAGGTGTAACCCGTCTTCCATGGCAGTGCAATCCCAAACACAACACCCTTAAAACACAACACCCTCCCAAGGGCTTATCCTCAGCTTTTTCCCAAAGACCTCCTCGCATGCGGATTCTTTGGCCGAACACATAAGACACATCCATGACCTGCATGACCGGTGTATGACCTGCATGACCTCGTGCGGATTTCCCTCAGCAAACGTCCAATCTGCGCCCATTCACACACGAGGCTTCTTACTGGCTTCCGCCTGAGACGGTCCGCTCAGTCAGTGAGATGATGGCGGTCGGAGGAGATGAGACCCCGTAGAAAAGCAAAGTACTCGTCGATATAAATGGATGTGGGCTGAGCATACAAAACGAAAAGGCTGGTCTGCTTAGGTACATTAATTACCGCGCATGGCTTTCATGCATTTGCTAGGTGTTTTCAACCACATCCATGACCACCACATGAATATGATGGCCCGAGCAAAGAGCAAGCAGGTCACAAAGAACCCAAAAACTAGTTTGAGCAGCTTGTACTCTCCAGAACTGATGTTCTGATGTTGAGAATCCTCGAGCCAATGGAACTCCAACTCATCCAAAAAGTCGCACTCACTCGCATTGGCTCGATTGCATGACTCATGCAAAAGCATGTAGGGAACCATGTTGGATATCGCATAGGGACGTACTTGGACTCTGTGCATCAGAAGGGATGCCTTTAGAATAGTTCAACTTCTTGGACAAGTCCAATTGCAGGATCCAATACTTTTTCTGTGGTGCAAGGATTCGGCCCACTCCATGATGCTGCCGGCCCCCGGAAGTGGCGTTTTTTTTCTTTTTTCCGCCATCGCATGGGTGAGATCCATGGCCAAGAGGTTCAGTAGTTGCAAAAGCTGGAGCCACTGTGCTCCTACGGATCCGGATCGGAGAAGAGTCTGCTGGCTGGCGGCTGGCATAGCATACAACTCACAACTCAGAACCAGTTCCAAAAAAGAGGGGCGACTTGGATCTTTCGGGTTTGGCAGTTGCTCACATGTGCATTTGAACTTGGGATCTGCGTGGGATGGAAGGATGCAGCAAAAGCAATACACTGTGAGTCACCGTGGGAATCACTGGCCCTGGAGTGTCAGACCACGTGTGGTCCTCAACGTCTGTCAGGTCCCCAGTGGTTTAAGAACCCCTCCTTCATCACATGCAAGGATGGCGGCATCATAACCTGGGCAAGATTGAACAAAGGCGATCCCATTACTTTACTGCTGAGCCCAACTTATATGTATACCAAGGTGCTTTGGTGTTGGGACTGCACCCAGTCGCACCTATCGGTCCGGGCCCACCAAGCACTCTGTATGCCAAGGTGCTTCAAAAACACGACCCTGTTGTTGCTTCTGCAGGTCTGGGCTGCAATCTGGTGCAGCTATGGATTTAGCACTTCAAAGCCTTATATATATATATATACTATATATATATGGTCTTCAGGATGCTGCGGACAGCTAAACACCCAGCATCTTTCTAGTCAAGCAGTCTTTCTTCAAATGACGAGGCGAAACGGCACGTGGGGTCGTTTCCTCGTGCGTGATAGAAAATGGAACAGAACAATACACGAGAGAGGGCTGTGAAAATCACTACACAATACTACACAATATACATCCATCAGTATGAGAGCCTTTCTGAGTACATGTCTACCTACATGTCTACCTGAAGAGTAAGGCCTCCCCCATGTCCATCCTCACTCAAATCCAAACAACAAACATCTTAGCTATATACGTGATCAGTATGGCATTATGATTCGTCATTCTTTGTCTCCACGGCCACTGTGTGAGCGTCCAGCTTCTTGGCCCTTCCGAATTCATCTGAATCAATCTTCCTGGACATCCCTCACCTGGTTGGAGACCTGGCCATGGCCACCATGGCCGCAGAACAAAAAACACCACACTTGACCGAGCCGACACCACCGAGCTGCACCGAGCGCCATCTCGACCGCCACCTCCGAGACCGTTCGCTCCGAAAGCTCCGTCGAAGACCAGAAACTCATGAAGTTGGCTTCTTGACGATGCTCCAACTCTTGGAGCAAATTCAATGCCAAGCGCCATGAGGTCGCCTGGCCGCGTTTTGGACGAACTCAGACCCATGGTTTCATCATTTTTTAACCATGCAATTGAGTCTGTTTCCCCAACCAGCCTTTAAGACAAGGACCCTCCTTTTACTCAATCTGTGTGTGTATCAGAATGTATCAGAATATGGAGGCCTTCCAACAGCCGAGCGCCCCTCTTCTCTGAGCCATCCATGGGTGACTCTGTTCATGTGAACGAACATCTCGCCGTTCCCCACCTGGCTACAGGCCCGGATGGCCGCCGTGAAGGCGACCACGTTGCCGCGGAGGCGAGACTCCGCCAGCGACAAAAGCCACACGGCCTGGAGACTGTCGTGACCGGCCGTGAGACCCTGAGATCTACCAATGTCCGGCCGTCCTTGGTGCTGTTGTGGGGCGAAGCGGACAGTGGCTGCCGTGGCTGGGGAAGAAGAGAGATACGACCCATGGCTTGTGGTTCACCAGGGTTGACTCCCTCCAAAAAGAAACACTTGAGTGGCTGGACCCATGTGATGCTCAGCCTAGGCCCGCCGAGGCTCCCAATACTTGGGTCAGGTTTCATTTTGTGAAGTGACATGGAATTCTTGGCGGAGTCCTCATGATCACACAAAAGAACACCAATTGCTCCCAGAAGGGAACACTTCGAAGATTGCAAGCTCTGCCTTCCAGGTCATTTATATAAGTACCTTTTCTAGTTGCTGCACACCCCCAAAAAACAGTCTGCAAGAAGGAATTGCAGGCCTCCTGCCAGCGTTTCCCTTTCTCGCAGGCGCTGATGGCGGAGCTGTAGGTGATGATCGTCGCTCCATTATCGAATAGCTCCAGCGCCAATGACAGGAAAACTAAGGCCTTCTGCCATTGCGCACCCTTCCTCGGAGGACTTGGCTTCCAATTCAGTAGTTAAACCAACAGAATCTTATGGAATGGAGACAAACTCTTGTCTTGCAGGTAGCTATAAATGTCTCTCGTAGAATTCTCCAGCCCAAGCCAAAACACTCAGTTTAACCAACCCTCCCATGACACTTGCCCTAAAGTCGAGATGCTTCCGTAGAAGGGCAAAGAGCACCCAAGATCACAAACACTAGAGACAACCCCTGGGCTGTACTAGTTTTCCGGATGAAATGCCAAGACCAACTTTATTCAAATTCAAGGTCAGTTCCGGGGGAGTATTGAAATGCTTCTGTCATTGACTTGATTTTATAGTTGTGGTGTTTTGCATGCTTGCCATCTCTTAGCTGGGAAAACATGTTGATTTGCACATATTTGCACGTAGAAACAAAGCGGCCTGAAGGTCATATAGAGCCGAGTGCGTTCTTGAGGTGTCAATGTGACTTTTCAAGTTTTTGTGGCTGGTGTTTTTTTTCTACATCATGTGCATCTTTCTGAAGGTCGTGTCAAATGTATATTATATGTTCTACACTACTTCAAAAAGTCTGTGTTCTACCAGCAATGGCACGTGCCATAGCTGGATGTCAAGTACAAGGGATACCTCCGCATACGAACAAGCAGTGCCACCTCGAACGGGTCTCCTCTGTGCAAGGAGCTCCAATGCCGCAATCACCGTGTTGTAGGTGATGATGTTACCCTGCGATTGCACGACAGCGCTGGCACAATCAGTCAGGACATGTGTGGTATTCAATCCCATGGTACATGAAGACAATACAGCGGCTCATGCATTGCTTTGGGTCAACGCCTAGCACTGCTGTGTAATTTCCATGCAATTTCAGCCCCAAGGCCTTATGGCGGACGTTCTATTGGCTTGGCCAGCATCTATCATGTCGCAAACACATCCATGGTCTATAGACCACAACCCACAATAGTTGGTGTAGACATTCTGTTCCCTGCAAGTAGTGAGTACCTAGCTCAGTCCTCCCTTTCTTCGTCCCCAACTCAACATCCTATCACAGCCATGACACCTGGATGCTGCGACCATATTGAGAACATATAATCTCTGTCAGATTGGTACTTCTTAGCATCAGGGGTGAAGGCTATATAGATGGGGTTTTCGGTGCCAAGTGAACGATTGAAGATGGATGCCATATCCATCCATATCCAACTTTTCAGAGCTCAGTACAGGCAGGATGTGCTGTCAAGGCGAAGGCGCCTTCCCCGACATCAACTACCGAGTCGGGGATGGCTACGCCTTCCAAGGCACTACAGCCAGCAAAGGCTACAGCTCCTATGCGAGTCACTGAATCAGGGATGATCACACTGGCTAAAGCGATGCAGTTCTGAAAAGCCGCTGCTTCGATTTCGGAGACAGATTTAGGGATGCTGACGCTGGCCAAAGAGCTACAACCATCAAAGGTCTGCTCCCGAATGCACGCCAAGGAATTTGGAAGATCCAACAAAACCAAAGAGCTGCAATTCTGAAAGGCACCAGCATCAATATCCGTCACGGACTCTGGGATGCTCAAACTCGCTAGGCTTCGACAGTCCGCAAAGGCATATGCTCCGATCTGCCTCACCGACTCTGGGATCGTCACGCTCACCAAGGAGCCGCAAGCTGCGAAGGCGTGGAGGCCAATGGACTCCACGGAGTCGGGGATGAAGACTGACACCAAAGAGCTGCAATTTTGGAAACCTCCAGCCTCGCAAGAGAAGGGCGCACCTCGCGCATATTTGGTTGTGGTTTCTAGCTTGGCACCAGGCCTTTTTTGGAGGAACTATTCAGTCTTGGAGTGAAATCACCAAACAAGTTGAGCGACGATTGTGGTGGTGGCCTATTAATCCACGAATCGACAACATGAGAGGATTTGGACCCAAAGCTGATCGCCGAGAGCTGGTCGATCTTGGTGAGCAAAGAGTTTCTTATATTTCTTGGGAGAATGCAAACGACTCGTAGGGAATGAGGGAAACGCCTCGCCCCTCAACAAAGACTCCTTTGGATTCATTTCATGTTATATCCTCATTCCTTACGAGTCGTACCAGTCAGAATAATTCTCTGAACGTCTGGCAAAGCCACTTAGGATCTTTCAGTTCCTACAGTAGCAAATCGGAGCATCTGAGTTGCAAACATGGCCGCTCTCTGCTCGAAGAAAAAGCATCTTGTTTTGACCCTTCTCGGCTACTTCAAGAGATCGGTCAATTGGTTAAGCATGACACATGCAGCTGAATAAATAAACAAAGCATCTTCACCCCAAAGCCTGACCAGCTCATGAAACACATTTGATCCCTTTA